ACAGAAAGCAGATGCTTGTTTTCATTAGTACGTTTACGAAGGTTGTGAAGCAGAAATCGAAGTTTAATAAATAATTTAAGTCTTATATATATTCAATATTGTAATAAAGATTTAAACAACAGCAAGAATACACATCCAAAGTGTTATGGATGTTGATGAAGGTGTTGAAAGAAAAAGATCGCAAATAATAGTAGCGATAATTAGTAAGTAGAAGGAGAGTAGAAGAATAAGCGGTAAGAATGAAGCTCCTCAAGGTATATATATAATTTCATGTGTTTAAAGAAGTATGATTGTTTTAGAAAGAAGAGGAGGTTAAAAAAGATGAGGGAGATTATATGGTATCAAAAATATTTCGTAGTAAACAAAGTTATTAATTACAAATATAAATAATATTTTATTTTTTTTAATAGTATCTTTTTTTACAGTGGAGACTTTTCGGTGCGATTTTGGTGGAGGAGGAAATTCCGTGGAGGGATGTTCATTAAAGGATTATGCAAAAGATGAATGATATGATTGATGCGATTGTGAGTGCCGTAACGCACGGCATCATAATATGCTCATCATTTTCTCCTAAGAACCACTTAGTTAATAAAACTTAACAAAAATAATTAAACTAACTAAATAGTAATAGTGGTTGGTAATTGTAGTGTATTTGTTGAATTAATTTATACTAAATAATAGGAGAAGATAGATAGTCGTGCAGTTGTGGTGCAGAAGTATGGCCCTTAGTGTTTTAGCAGATAACATTGGATCATATAAGAATAATCGTAGTAGAAAAAGCAGTAAAAATGTAAAGTGAAAAATGAAAAGTAAGAAGAATAAGTCAATTAAAGAGGGGAAGATAAATAAAACAACATTATAATACTTCTAATTTTACCCGAAATTAGATCAATAAAATTTTTCTACTAAAAAGGGGTTGTTATGATGGCGTTCATATTATTAACAATTGTAGATGTTTGTAATGTTTCATGCCTCTCTGTACCTCGTAAAGAATCTAGAAGATAATTATTAAAGAAAACTAATATAAATTGTATGTTAGAGTAAGTAACAGAGAACTTACAAATATAATCTAAAAGATGATGATGTAAGTAGATGAAGCAAGAAAGATCAACCAATATATAAGATGCGTTTAGAAGGGAGAAGAGAGTTAATAATTAAGTAAAATTATTACTACATTTTAATTATTTTCTTGAATATGTTTTCAACAATCATTCTTAATTATTTCTATTTACTTTTTTTATGAATATATAGGATTGTTGTTTATTAATGATTATAAAACTCATACACTCATGCAGCACCAATTACACCCACTGATTCTCTTAATTATTATATATATTCATTATGTATATTATTCTATAATAAATAAGAAAATAATTAAATGGTATTCATTATTAATATCATTAAATAATACATGGGTAAGTGACTAAATATATAATAAAAATGAGTAATAATGAATAGATTATAATATATAGATATATATATATATATATATATATATATATATATATATAAGTAATTAAGTGTATGTTTACATATACACATAATAGGATATAAATGGTGAATCAGACAGAATGGTGAGATATTTAGGTTAAAGCTGATTATAGGAAAAAAGTGAACTTAATTATCAAATTAAGTCAAACAGGATTAGAGAGTGAGGAAAAATGGGAAAAAATTTTAAAAGAATAAAATAATAAATTTTCATAATCTTTTTTCTGTATAAGTTATATATCTATATTATTTTTGTTATCTAGTATAAAAATATACATTTAACGTAACTAAGTTGTATTTTATATTCTATATTTCATTTTTAATAAATGATTTAAAATATTTTATATCTCACATATCTAAAATTTAAGGTAACAACACACTTAAGTTTATGATTATAATTTTAAAAACAAAAACAACGTAAAAAAATAATTTCAATACAATATAATTAAAAATAACATACAGTACAATAACTCTTATTTAAGCAACTAGAATTTTTTTTCTATTAAAAAATAAAATAATTTACACACAAAAGTTTATTAAATTTAAATGTCCACATAAAACGTGGGCGTTTTGATATAAATAAATTAATTGAAAGGCGATGATAGAAATGATTGTGTTCTTTCTTCTCTTTCTCTGTCTCTGTTTTTGTGGTGTACGTAGATAGAATTACATTAAAATTTTTTTTTTTTTTTTGTGTTTAAAAGAAATTATGTTCACTCTTATTTTTTATATCTTTTTGAAGAGAAAGGAAACATAATTTCTAAAATGATACATTTCATTTCTCTTGCTTTGCGTTTCTTTACAGAAATATACCTAACACACACACAAAATATTAAAAGTCTGCCGTCCAGAGAACACAACATATTTAATTGGTCATTATATGGTTACACACTTCTTTATGTTAAAAAAAAAAAAAATACATCTATTTTATTCTCACAATTTTCTTACTACAAAATTTCTTTAAAAAAAAAACTAAATAAATTTTTTATAATAAAACAATTATATAATTATATTATATTACCTACCTTTTTCTTTTATTTTATAAAACACACCTTGTTGTGTCCTAACAAAGAGAATATATATTTTTTTTTTTATTAACAAACTCTATTTATTTTTTAAAAAAGATTTTTTTTTTCTTTGATTTTATAAAAAAAAAAATATACACCACATTTTTTTGGGTGCAAAAACACTTATAATAAAAAAAAAAATATTTCTCCAAAAAAAAAGAAGTTAGAAAAAAAGGTTTTAGTAAAAAAAACACAAAAAAACACAAATACGGCGAAAACCCCGTAAACTAACACGCATAGTGTGCCCCCATGAATTACCCTTAGTAAACACAAGACTGAAAGATTCTCATATGTCTTACTTATCCAATATAGAACAAGCTATCTGTAGACATGTTCATTTGAGCTCGGCTTTAGTAGTGAGATGATTGACTAAGGACAATCAAATTCAAGGTTTGAAGCAAAGAGCTCAAAAGATGCTACAGAAATTCAGGTTTTAGCGATGCTGATGATCGTGGCACTCTTATTTCTGAAAAATACCAACTCGTTCAGACCAGAAGTCAGGGATGAATGATTTTGAGGATATATTTGGAAAGTTGCATATATGCTGAGGTGTGTTTGATTTATTCTGGCTAGTGTTTGCGTAAGATGAGTAGTACGAATTACTAGCGTGGATGCATGACCGAGCGTCTTCAGCCAGGGGATGTTAACTAAAACTACTAAGGTAAGTATCAATGACGAAAAAATGGAGAACTATTTATTTTATAGACTTATTTGCTATCACGTCACGTTAAGAATAATTCATTAGTATGTTTCTATTACCATTGGTTATAATATAACTGTAGTTTTGGCTTGCTGTAACCAGTTGCATTATATCATATTTTATTTATAAACTGATAAGAAAAACAAATCGCTATCTCTTGTTCGAAATTCGTCATTAACAATAATGATGTGTTATTATACCTTCTTTCTGTTGAAACACAGTGCACCAACAGTACCTATGGAAATCACCTGAAATCACTTCAGAAGTAGACCGCAGTAGTGATTCTATCAAACTACTGCGGCTGAAAACAATGAAAGATTCAGTTCTCAATCTGTTTCGTCTGATCTCTTCAAATGCTTATCACGATACGAGCCTTTACATATGCTTCAGATAAGTGTACTTTAAGTTTAAATATGCTATTACTCAGACGGAATGTTAGAGTACTTAGTTCAGCTCTAGTTCTAAGCTCGTCATACTCTTATTTACCACCATTCAAAGTACACAGTAGTCCGACAGATTCATAAGTTTGACATACCAAACAGAGGTGCAGGATTACTTGTAAGGTTTTCAAATTACCTCGTTCTATTTCCGAGAGATTAAGAAAACTTGACCGTTAATTTTATGTGTTATTCCAGGGTATTTTGTATTGAAGTTAGAAAATATCTATTGAAGATTAACTCTTTATCTGATGATTAGTTGTTGGGGTATTCAATATGCATGTCACTGCTGGTCATAGAAATTCAATATCATTCACGAACCTCAAGACTGAGCTTTAAAAAGTGATGAATGACGAATACTTAACGTTCCGGTATTTTGAAACTTTATTTCATCACGAACTGGCCTTACTGACAAAGTTCTCCCAATCTATGTGACTACAACCCTCTCAGTTAACAGGAGGGGATCAACAACCGTGAACACTCATATGTGATGTTCCCTCACCTAGAACACCTGAAGCTGATTGCTATTTCCTGCATTCTCACTTCTAGAAATATTATTCTTATTATAAATAATGACCAAAATTCTGACCACCTCTTCACCTTCCACCAAAACATATTAGTTTTTCTTAAGAGCTTTCCTGTTCAAATCGTTTATATAAACTACTTCTTAACTCAGACCGTTACATTCCTTCTACTTATTTACTATCTCATTTTATATTCCTTAATATTATATACGACGAATTTCTAGCCTCTTAATGTGACAACACAAATTTTACGGAAGAAACCCTCCTATACATACGCAGAAAATACCAATATTTAATTATTTATCAAGTTTACTACATTAAACACATCCAAGGGGCTAGGAAACATGTATAGCTGGTCGGACTATCTGCTTCTAGCTTCGATTCCGAGACTGTCTTATTCTGAGGCTTATATTATTCTTATTTTGGATTGATTTCGATATTAAAAGTAAGTGCATAGTATGAACTTGCTGCACCATTGACCCAACTTTCTTTATGCTCTATTTTCCATTACACCTTACTCTACTATGCACTCCCGACTGGACCACAAAGTAACTTCTATCAAGAAACAAACCGCTACAAACTCATTGAACGATATCAAACAGATAGGACCGTCTTGTAAAGGCATGAATTGGGCTCTAATATATAAGTTAATTTACACCAGCAAGTCTAAAAGACCACGCCTATTTGATATTGTTCAACTCATGTTCTTTGTTTTCTCTTGCTGCTGCAGAATGTGTGTTTTTTGAAATTTACAGTTTGCCGTTAGCTGTTTTCGGTGGATGAGATGGTTTGTCAAATGATCCAATAATTTGACATTATATTAGGCTAGTGACAAACTTTTATTATTTCAAGGATGTCTCTCTGTGTTTGGAGGAATTTTGTTGCATCTTACATTTGGATATTTCTATACCGTTTGTAAGTTTTTAAATATTCAGTTTTCACATTGTTGAAGCCAACATGGTTCCATATATTATGGACTATCTAAGAACATATGTCAACCCAAACCTATCGGATAGGGACGCAATTTGGTTATCAGCGCTAGGATTTTGTACTCAAGGCTTTTCCATGCCTGCCGGTGGATTAATTGCAAAAAAAGTGGGGTTTAGAATAGTGGTTGCGACAAGTTGCATATTTTTGAGGTAAATATGCTTTAAAATTTGATTTTACGGGATAGAATGCACATGATTTAGAACATTTACTTTCAATGATGTCTGCCATTCATTCCATTTCTGCCCATAAATTATGGTCTCGCCCTTTATTTTTGATAAATCTTAGTAGAATTGATGAAATTGCGTGTAAATTATAGTATTATACAAAAATTGGGCTATAAATAAAAATTATTTTTCAGTAAATCAATAGAGAACTGTGGGTTTATAAGTGCGGATGTTGTTAGAAACATGATTTACTTAGAAATTTCGGATGGAAACCAGTGTTAGTTCCGGAGCTGTTAAGCTGAAAGTCTAAATAAAGACTCAATAATCAACAAGAAGTTTGTGTAAGCGTGGAAAAGTACCCGAAATTGTTGGGACGTTCGGTATTACTCTCGGAAAACTAAGGTATAGAAAATTCGATAGGATTTTTGCACAAATTTAATTTAAATCACTAGTAACATTTCTAACCCTTTGTAAAATCAGGGTTATTTTACCACGTTTTAACTGAGTTTCGCCGAAAGTTAATAACGGAATTTAAGTAAAATCAACACTAAATTAAGCAGCTCGTTAATGTTGGGTGTTCATGTTCAATTATTGCTTATGTCGAAGCGTTTGAAGAATTATCTTGCAGAAGTTTCGTTATTATAGGATAGTGCTTTTTTACCGTGTTTAAGTTTTAAATGATGGTTATCAGCTGATTGATTGAATTAGAATTTTATATATTTTGTTCTGTAACTAGCATTTAAAAGCAGTTTAATTAGAAACAAGGACATCAATATATACTCCAAATGTGAAAACCCACATTTTACGTCATCAGTTATCGGGTTGTAGTTTCACTGTTGATTAACAAGTAGCCATGAAAATTCAATCTGTTAAAAGACTTCATCTGTAAATTTTTCAAAATGTAAAGCTGCAAGTGCATTAAATATAGACAAATAAACCAAAAAAAATTGATAAGCCTGAATAACATTTAAATTGCTGAAATAGTAAAACCATCTGGCATAATACCGGACACAAAAACGAGTTATTATTTCAAAACTTTTGCGTAACCAAAGTTGTGTATGTAGAACAAAACATATTATAAATCAAGATGATTACATTCTTTGTCTATTAGGCTTATGAGACACCACAGCTGTAGTTTGAAAGCTTTCACATCTCAGAAAACTATCTACAACTGTTAAAGCACTAAGTAGCACACATAGTAAGGCTACTAATAATTAGTGAAATTGATTGAAAAAAGTCTTTAACGTTATCTAAAGCATTTCAAAATGTTTAAGTCTTAAAAAAAACAGTATGTTTTACAATTCTGTGGAAATGTGTATGCTTTTACGATTTGTGTTTAAATTAAAATAGAAAAAGTAGACAATACTGATGAAAACATCAAATATCGATGTCAATTCTGATGACAGGTCATTAGTTGCTCTGCCCGCACTAATAGCACTCCAGTGGAGAGCCTGTGCATGTTTGACGTACGTCTGTGGTACACATTTCAGTGACGGTCACTTCCGTAAAACCTGTAGATCAATCGATTCGAACACCACCTCAAGGTCAAAAAGTAAAACTATGTTTCAAAGTCGGTAGATTCACCACTTTACGGGACCCAGTAAAGGGAGAATTACCACAAAAAAAAACAAGAGTGTACCTGTTTTTGATTCGTGGATCTGTATTAAGGAAGAGGGGCATGAAAGTTTCAGGTAGTACTTACTTTTATAATTTACCTAAATAATGTGAATTTGGTGTGTGTTTGATTTTCGACTAGCTATTGATGAGGAGCATAATAATAAGACCACACCATGTAGAGTATTTTAAACGTGTTACTGTGCTTGAAATTATGAGTTTTTCTGCGTTTCCGCACATTGGTTGACAGTAAACAAGTGATCAAGTTGAAATCGCTAAAATTACTCTATGTAACTTTGATTTGTAAGTGTCCTTTTACTAATAGATATTTTCTCCATTTGAAATTCTTTTCTCTCGTTGGGTTTCACCCGTCTCTTTCTAATAAAATGTACTTATTCAAGGGTTGTTTGTTTTGATTTTTTATCATGAAGTTAATTCGAAATCATATTTAATGTAATGAAAATACCCATGGTATATGAGACAGATTTTCCGGTGAGTTCATTTTAATGCTAACATTTCATACGAGAATGTTTATTCTATCATTTGATTTCCATAATTAAGCACACAAGGCAATTCGTTAATCACGTAAATACTTTGTTGCTTTGATCTACTGCGTTAAGATCATCTATTAAATTAAGCCAATACCAAGCAGTGCTTGTGAGATCTTTATTCATAGTTGGTGGATTGGTGTTTTGAAATCAATATTAACTCATGAGCTTATAGATATTTTGATAACATACTTTTCCCTCACGTTTAACTATTGTATTTTTCAGTGGAAGCGTGTTTCTTACATATTTTACAATCCAGAAGACATTTGTTGGAGTAGTAATAACATATTCATTAACAATGGGTATAGGAATGGGATTCGCTTATTCTGTGGTGTTCGCTGTCGCAACAACAGTGAGTTTGATACACAGTTATTGCACAATTTAGTGTTAATAAAATCATTTGAAAACTTATTAAATCAATGATGCTGAAGTAGCCTAAGACAATTGGACTACTTTAAGATGCTAATATAAAGCCATAAAATGTCGAAAACGAATGTTACTGATGGCGTACGTAGAGTGGTGTTTTTTGCTCCGATAGTTAGGGGGATGAAAATTGCAACAGAGTTTTAGACACAGAAATGATTCCTTAGGAATAAATATAGAAACTTGAATGCATACTAATTTGTGGATTTTGTTATTTTCAGTACGAAACGTCCCACTAAATAATAAGTTTTGGCGAAAATATTGAAAAACTGTATTTTTTGTTTGTTAATATAATGGTACGCATTTCCAATTTATGTTTTTAAATGTAGCTTGAGCACAAATAAATTCGAAATAATTAATAAGATAATATGAAATGAACAAACATTATCAGAAGAAACACAGATATACTCGATATGAATCAATGTTAATAGAAAGTCTGATCTATTTTCTTCTGACAAATTTGTTTATGGAGGAAAATGTTTGTTCTTTATTTCGTCATATTAACTATCTTCTTCATCATGTAATTCATACCATTTTATTCAACACATAGTACATCATTATCAAAGTTCAAAACACAAAGAAAGGTTAAAACGAAACCTACATGTTAAGCTGTGTTGACCGCGGTAAAAATTACTGCTTTTAAGCAAAATTATGAGTGAAGCATGGTTAAACTTTATTAAAAGAAAGACCAATAAACACTTAACGTTCATTTAGCGTTCCAATAGCTACCGTAATAAAATCAAAGCTTTAACTAGTATATTTATAAGAAGTTTGTTTTATTTACCATGTTTTAGAAATAATAAGGAATACTATGGCTACTATTTCTTACTTAAGAATATGAGTTAGCATGATTTTAATCTTCGTAAGACCAAATAAGTGACAAGATTGCTGAATGGATTTTTGATTTTTTGGCACCAGAATACTTTCTGCAAACAAACACAGAAGGGTTTTGTCAAAAACACTTAAGAAAACTGAAAAATACGTGGGAAGTGATAAATCAATTCAACTATTAGTTTTGGTTCCTTTAATTTTTATGTAACCTGATATTAAAAATACATACAACAAAAATACATATTCACAATTGGTTAAGTCAAAAATTAATGTCAACAAATCCATAGGTAATCCAAACCCTTTTGCTTGAGGTTATGGAACAAAAGTGAGTATCGTTTAATAAAAGGCTACATTAAGGCACAATCCATATGGTGTTAATAAAAAAGCCCCCCATCAAGTTAAAATTACTGCATAAAATGTAGATGGCCAAGCGATCGTTACTAGATTTCTGCTAAGTAAATGCATTCAGAAAATTAAAACAGTTTGAATTGTCAGTACGTGCAAGCATGCTGTCGTCTGTTTGCCATTTTTTCTTACGTTTTTACTGACTGTATTTTGAAAGGCGGAAAGAATGAGTTTGAAGGAGGCTTTTCAGTCTCCTTCAAGAAATCAGTCTTTCAGAGGCAGTGGCAACAGATAAATAGGCTGCACCAAAGTGACACTTGTGTGAGTCTTATAGTGTTCTTGCTTAATAAACAGACAACGGCAACCACGTGCTATAACTGTTCTTATATAACCGTTTATTTTTAACTAAAACTAATTCTCAAAATTGCCTAAATGATAGGCTGAAATAAAACACGTTTTCATCAGCCATCGCTGAGGATACACAGTGATGGACTAACTTATTCTTAAGCACATATTTAAACACTGATCGTTACCTAGTGCACAAACAGTTTTGTCTTCGTCTTACTAGATCTAGAAAATTTATAAAACAGCCCCTCAAAATTCAGTCTAACAATAAAAATGTCAGTCGTACAATGAAATTGAGATAATCGGTAGAAGATATCAGAAAACAGATGAACTAGTTTTCGGATACTCCTCAAGTATCTGTTGTTACCAAACAACCTGAACGGGATGTTAACTGGAGCCTCTGACTCTTGAAGTAAATTAAATACCGTAAGAAATCTAAGACGAGGGAAAAAGTGAAGTCCTGATGGACTAACTCTTAAGATCTTTAAGGGCAATGGTACAGTTTTGGCACTAGTTAGGGCACTATTTAGAGCCTGGGAGATTGATGTTATCTCATCTGACTGGCTTTGACCGCTGATCATTCACGTTTATAAGCAAAGACAGGAATTCTCTAGTGATAAATACAGAAGAATCAAGCTGACCAATATATTGTGGAAATTTTTAGCCTCAATAATCATCCGATGCTCAGCCGCGTGGTAGTGAAGAGGGAATTCAAAAAAAATCAGGCTGATTCCATAACTGATTGTGGATATATATGCCAAATGATCTGTTTTCAGTAAGTTCTGGAAAATAGGCACATCTATCGACTTCGAAACATAGTTTTACTTTTTGACCTTGAGGTGGTGTTCGAATCGATTGATCTACAGGTTTTACGGAAGTGACCGTCACTGAAATGTGTACCACAGACGTACGTCAAACATGTACAGGCTCTTCACTGGAGTGCTATTAGTGCGGGCAGAGCAACTAATGACCTGTCATCAGAATTGACATAGATATTTGGTGTTTTCGTCGGTATTGTCAACTCCGCCGTTCTTATTTAATTTTTTCACGGATGTTTTTCATAATAACAGTTTCATTGCTTGAATTTTTCTAAATGACCGTTCTCACGGAAGATATACTTCTTTATTTAGATCAAGATCATGGTTTAGTCTTGGTCGAAAAGAATACTAAAGGTACTTTTAGTATTTTGATCGTCTTTAGCGATAGTGCAAGTATGTTTGAGATGCGTTGATTCTTGAATGGTTAGTGTCAACTCCTAAACTAATGATAGTGAACAGAATAGTTGGGCGCGTCTATCACTACAGTTATCTTGGAAGTTTCGTCAGCTCTTTTAGTCTAATTTCAAGCGAAATACTGGCACAGGTTCTGAAACTTACTACTTACTTAAGCCTGTTACTCCTCGTGAAGGAGTATAGGCCGCTCACCAGCATTCTCCATCCAACCTTGTTCTGGGCAATCCTTTCTAGCTCAGTCCAGTTGTAATTCATCGTTTTCATATCTGCTTCTATTATCCGATGCAATGTGTTCTTTGGCCTTCCTCTTTTTCGCTTCCCTTCAGGATTCCAAGTTAGGACTTGCCTCGTGATGCAGTTCTGAAAGCTCAGCCGGTTTTCACTAAATCGCATCATTTATGATATAAGAATGATCTTCGTTTTAATTTATGCCTGCAAAATCTAACCTCGTAAGTTGGGGATATTCCAAGGTGATTGGCATTTGGTCATAGATATCTTCGAAGCATCACTTGTGCATATTGGGGCCGTCAAGTGAGCAGTCCTGAGGTTAAACGCAAATCGAGTGATGCAGGCGGCGAATCCTTCATCACAGGAGGTACTTGTGACAAGTATTAGGTAGCCCCAACCACCTCTTACTTAGACGCGTGATGATTGTTGATGTGGTAGTTTCGGAGGAAGCTAGAAACGGCTTTACCAAGACATAACATCAGTCCATGAGTTTATTGAAAATTAGACTGTGTCGTGTAGATGGGTGAAGACTAAATGCTTGGGATATACACGACAGCTGTGGTAATCAGTTAAAGATGCTGGGTGATGTTTCTCAGAATCGCAAGTAATAGTGCAGGTGCATTCAGATTTTGTCTTCCTTTAGATCCTAATTTTCTTGACTGCCTATGAAAATTATTTTGTCCTACATATCCACATCTCCAGTCATACCTTCAATGCCTAATCTTTACACCCCTAGCTACTGCTACTACTTATGGTACTTTGATGTGGCGTGTCAATTCGAACCATTGTACGTATGTTGCAGGTTGGGTGCTGAGTATGGCTGACCTAGTGAATTTTTCTTTAATACAATTACAAAATGGTTTTACTCAAGTTGAGTGATTCGTAGAACCATACGGTCTGATATAAAGTGTTCATCACATAGAATAAATAATCTTAACAGTTTAATATCCTTGCTCGTTGTATGTTTCACAGTGGCTACTTAATGTCTATTTATATTCATGCATTGCGCTCAAGTCTACATACAATTTTACGAAGAGTTGTTGACTTATGCAACGTCACTAAATAAAAACTTCCTAAACCATGCATTATTCCGTTTACAACAAAGTAGCGGTATCCTCCATTATTGTTTTGAAATTATCTGCACCAAGTTTTCCAGTATGTTCAACAATGAGAACAATATGGTAGGAATATCAGAGTAAGATACAATTTAAAGCCTAATAAATAAGATAGGACAGAACAGTTCTCATTTCCTTGTGAGTATATTGTTTTTAGTTGATTTGTATCTATAAAAAGTCAGCTCTATTTCGAATGACCTCTTCATAACGTTTATAGTTCTTCCGTTGAAAGCGAAAGCTAAAACGTTTAAAATAACTTGAGTGAATTCTCTGGATCGATTCTACAAGATCGTTATTTTCTTTTGAAAGCTACACTAATTCCCCACTCACCATAACAGATGATCTACCACTAAGTCAAGCTGGTTTTATTGACGGTGCACTGACAATAGTGACATTTAAAGATTAAAGATGCTTTGAACTTTGATAATTTGGATTTTAGTGGTTTCCAGAAAAACGTGGATTGATTGTGGGAATAATTGTAAGTGGATTTGGCCTTGGAGCACTGGTATTTTCGCCTATTCAGACTGCTCTTATCAATCCCACAAACGTAAAAGTAGACAATGTTACTCGGTGAGTTTGTTAAATTTGTATTAATGTTTCATTATTTGTTTAATAATATAATATAATATCATTATTCTTGTTGAAATCCCATTTATTAAATAGCAAAATAAATTTATCTTATTAAATTAAATTAAATAATACGAATAAGTTATTGTGACTTCGGTGAAAAAGTTTACAATCTGATTCTCTAGTTAAATAAATGCTTTAACAACGATTCACAGGAAACTAAACAAAATAAAGACCTAAGTGGACTGTTTAGCGTGGCAAAATATTCTGACAGCCAATAAAGCTACATATTGTTGATGACTATAACAACCTGGCCCTGTTTTAAAAACATGCTTCAATCTGTCGGCTAATAAGTGTGAAATGTCTTCGTTTTAGATTATGACTACATCGCTACTAATCTATTCTTAGTAACCAGTAGATTTACTAATCAAGGAATGTAGTGCTGTTGTTAGAGTATTATTATCACAAAATAGCAAAGAAATTATACTTTATGATGAGCATATTTATCATTACATCATCCGAAATTATATTTCTTCATAAAAGCTTTCTCAGAAATTAACAATCTACATATTTGTTTATGAACATAAGAATAGTTTTTGATTTACATTCCATATCTCACTTTCTATAATTGCGAACTTCTACTTAAATATCACTTGGTTCTAAATAAAAATCTGGGTCATATATATTTTTTTTAAATAGCTTAGCGAATATTGATTTATTAATCTTAATTCGTCTATAAAAATGTACTTTGAAATATGATATATGTTATTTTGATTCAGTGATAAGTACTGTAATTGGTCATTTCTCATTATATATTAATATTATAACTAAGATAATATTTAGCTAGAGATCACACGTTACTGCTTTTCTGATGAGAGAGCTCTGTCAGCTTTGCCCAAGTACACTGAGTAGTGAAAATTATTCGGTAGTTTAAATATCTTAGGTACAGAACTCTGCACATACATAGTTCTTTAAATGTTTCATAACATGAAGTTGATATAAAGGTGATAAACTGTGTTTATAATAAGGCTATTAGTTATCACATTTACAATTAAATAATGTAAAACAACTTCGGTTACTAAAATTAATTATTATGAGTGAAGTTTATCAGAAGCCTGTATGGCATTCAGATTTGAACCCGCTGAGATACAACACTTAATATCAATTCTCACCTTTTAAAAGAAAACAAAATTATACCTTGTATAGTGCGCCGTCAATTTCTCATGGTGTCAACAAGTGTTTTTAAATTATCTTAAGCTAAATATACAACCACCAGATTTTGTAGAAAAAAGCATGCGAGCGATTAACAAGTCTTATGGAATCTTTATTTTGAAAAGAAGTAGAACAAAAGATTCAATACTACTGTCTAGAGATACCTAACGAAGCTGCCATTCAAAAAAGTATGAGTTAGAGAACCATGACATAAATCAATGATGTCACTTACTACATTCACTACAACATGTTACTCATTTCAATTTTTAAAAATTCCAGTGTTTATCATGTGCTTAAAAATGTGATCACAAATGTTTAAATAAGATGGAGCTAGCAGGATCTTTCACCGTTTCGCCAATATCTGCCATTTTTAGGAAAATACCTACGGTGAAGTCATCAATAACCTTACAATTTGATTTAGAAAACGAAAGTTAAGCGAACATTTTAAAATCAATTTTCAAAGTGATTGACCCCATTCCTCCGAATAAATAACTTTTAAATTTTTACTTTAAAATCAATTAGAAATAAAAGGTGATGTCTTTATTCATGTATGAATAAATATTCACAGAATTCACCTCATTAATTTTGTCACTGATCATAGATTGGTGGTTAAGTTGATCAACAAAAATATTTTAATGGCCTGATTCATCATAATCGTCTCAATTTTAATGCTCTTTATTTCGATTAAGGCCATCTAGTCAGAAATGGATTTCATTTATAATACTTTCCTGACTACATTTATATTGTCAAATAAAAATCGAATATCACTAAGAGTATCCACATACGATGATTGCGTCAAGTAAAGCTCATCATGGTGGGGATTGTAAAGATGCAGATAAGCTTTCGCAATGTTTTGGTCTGATTTACGTCTCAGATATCTATAGAGATTCAGGTATATCTGTTTGTAAAATTCATGTCCCCGATAAGTTTCATTTTGAAAGATAACAAACAGCATGAATCTGAAAGAACACTTATTAAATGATATAACTATAAACAGAAAGATCATGTCTTACTGTTTATTTAGGAATCAAAATAAATTAGCCTGAAATATAGATAAATCACTAGTTGCTTGCCACTGTAGAAAATTTAACTATTTAACAGACTTGAATTAACCCTAAATACTTTGTTATATAAATCTTTGTTAAGTGAAGTCCTTTCACATTTAGTCTTTAATTTTAATGCGATTTGTTTCTAAAAATCATGAATTATTGTTTTAGCCACACTGACCCTTATTCTAAGAAAGTAATCAATTAAAAATGAATTAAATTTTCTAAACTACTGATAATTACCAAATAAAAAAGGATATGAAGTAGTAAGTATCTAACAAAAGCAATTTATTCGGAGGTGAGCTTCTCTGATTCACTCAAATGACTTTTAAAAATAAGTCAGTCAAATCATTTTTTATAAGAAGAGTATGTGAACTGATAACTGATGAAATAGTATAACAAAAAATTGCTATCCGTAGAATACGTAATCATTTGAATTCAAACGTATTTCATGGCGTCTTGTTCGATCTAATAGATGATATCCAGCATTGAACAGTTCTTGCATGAAAATGGAGAGGTTGACGTCTAACACATAAATCGAAATTCTCGTACACTCTAAATCCCTAAAAACAATTATCACCGAGTCTATCTTCGAATATCGAGAAATTCCGTAAAACTGGATAAAAAATGTACATAATTTTATCATTTCAAGTCACGGGACTGGCCATGATATCAAAAATTTGCAACTGCTTCGGGAATTAGAAACAGTAAAGTTTAATTGAATCGTTTAAAAAACTAGTCAAAACGGCATGTAGAACGATCATTGAAGAACACACATTCTGATATGGATCAGAACATTCACGCTTCAAAAACTACCATTTTAAACATTGATCCAATGAGAATCTAATGCATATTCATATATGAACATAATTAATATATGACCCATGAACGTTATTTCTCAGAATTAGATAACGCTGAATTATCTATGTAGAAAAAGCCTGACCGAATTATTCATATCTAAGTTTTAATATGATAAATTCTGGTTTATCACATAATTCACTGAGATACTACTATCAAATTTACAGATCTCGGCAAAATCAAATTTGTTCAACTTTTTTCACTGAGAAATAAAAATTTTTAAAGAATGATTTTCATTCAAAAAATTGAAAATATACTTCGACCTTTATAAACGAAAAAAAACCAGCATCAAGATTAAAAATAAGGGATTAGATTATGCTTTCTCTTGCGAAATGTGAAATGTTATCTGTTAAACCAGAAAAATATGACAAATTTATAAAATTCTTGGCTCTGGTTATTTAATAAATGAACTTTTCAGTCAAAATTTTACAACAGTCAATATATTCAACACTGAAACGAATCTATTGAAATTTGAGTAGCGAAGAAACGAAACCTAATTTTTAGGGTCACTATAAAAATCTGTACAAGAGAAATAGTAAATTTGATTTTGCTTCTCCAATAAATTATGAGATTTTGAAACTTGAGCAAATAAATAATAAACTATTGGTCCTCTGTTCTTATATTTTTAGTTGATCAGAGAACGTTTTTAAAAATAAATTAATTCGTAATTGAATATACACCGTCCAAAATCTTTTGTTGAGTATTTATCGTACTGCATACTCCTAACTAGCGGTTATAACATGATTGTTCTTAAAAAAACTCACTTACAAATAGACCAAGTTAAATGGCAGAAAATAAGCAGAATAATAACCTAAACCTTAGTCTCAAAAGATTAAATGGAATTAGAGTTTATTGTGAGTAAAAGTACTGCATAAAGTGAATGCTTGAAATAATTGACTTTCTTTGATTACTAATACTTTTTTAATACTGCGCGTAGTGGCATATGTATTTAAATGACAGTATCTGTATTTTTTTTTTGTAATTTTATAACTTGAGACCATAGACAACATTTATTTTACTGATTTAACCAAAATCATTTCCTATGATATATTGATAGATTTAATTGTGTTCTTAAGATAGTAGATAATTAATTCGCAGTTAGACATCATTAGTTTTCATTTATTTAATATGTGCATATGGATTACAGGTTGACTATTGGTGGAGAGTAGAGTTTAGCATAAGTATTATAACGTCACGAACAATGTTTGGAGAGGTTTGCATTTTGAATGAGTATTGAACCAGTCTATATTGATTGAAATAAATAATTTTGCATCCCTGATGGACAATTAGTTTTAAAAGTGTATTAGTTATCGTGTGAAGAAATAATAGCCCATAAAAATAAGGAAAATAATCATAAAAAGGATAGTTCGTTTATAGAAAAGTCATGTCTTTGTTGTAACTAAATTAATGGGAACGACAGGAATCATATAAAAACGTTTTACTACAAAAAGAGGACTGTGAAGGGCTTATATTGAAATATGTTTAATATTAACTTCATCTATTTTACAGTATGTTAATTGAAACTTTATCTGAGAAGCTGAAAATAGTTTTAATATTACCTAAAATTTGAGTTCCAATATTTATCTCTAATATAGAGTAATACATAAAATTTGAATAAAATTTCATATGAGACCGTATCTACAATGTTACTGCACCTAATCCCATATCCGTTGTTTGCACAATGATTATGATAATGGTCGATGATAACATGTCACAGATTACAAAAGTTTGTTTCCTACCAACCAATTAGTGTCTTGTTGATAACAATTTCCTCTGTTGAATCATCAAATTACACGTTTGAGACCTGCTCCATCCATTTTGTATGTGTCAGCAGCGTAGTATCACTATACTTCACACGGTTGATTTTAATCAGACTTCGAGTACACGGATATTTACCTAGTGAATTAATTAGAATAACGTTATTATCGAAATTCCATTCGGATACAGATCTAACTAGTAGTTACCTCACGCGTACCACTTAACCGTTCCAATCTTTGATTGAACAAAAGACAATTGTAGGAAGGGTCGATCTTGAGTTTTATTCTTATATATTAGTGGATCCAAAGAACGAATAATCATTAACCCAATAGAACAGTTCTCGAGTTATGATTACTTTTTCTTCATTTTGTACGTTTTTCGTAATTACTACTAATTTATTCGTTTATTTAAAATGTTAACTACTCGATACAACTATGAACGTACTATAATAAGCATCGTAAGCAGGTCTACTGTACTATTCACCAATTAACCTACACAAAGATTTTGTATGAATAACTATTATATTCATTATTATCAGAATGGGTTTTGTGGAGATTTCAATCTGTGATATTATATTCATTATTGACCATTTTTACGACTATAGATATGTGATAAGATATTCAGTTAATAAAATGAAATTATAAGACCAAAGACAAGAAATTTGTATTCATCGTAAAAAGGCGCAGTTATTTTTCAAAAGCCATTTTAACTTAATTATTTGTTCTTTTGACTTTAGCCACTTTACTGATATCGAACTTCTTGACCGGGTACCTAGAACCCTTTTAATTTTGGGAGGTATATTATTAGGGATTCAGATAATCGGCTTCCTTCTTCTACGCCCAAGACCTTCTTCAAAACAGGCAAGTGGTAGTTTCAATTGTAATTTAAATGATATTGTGGTTAGCTTTTGAAAATGAGTTGGAAATAATTATTGTCAGAAAATGAACATAATAATGAAAAGAATAAAATTATTGTTCGCTAAGACGTTAGAATTTATTGTTTATTTTCCACAAAATACTAATTGAAAATCACAATTTCACTTGCGTTGCGCGTTTTCAGCATCCTATGTAAAAATTATTCATGAAGTATTGTAGATGACCTAGAAATGTCACCGGAAATATTATTTTAAAATCTTACAAAAAATACACGTTTCCTTGAGTTTATATTTGTGTAACCATTCAGTTGTAACAAATTTATTTAAATAATTCTTGAGGTCAGTATGATTTTCATTTCATTATTTTTTTCAGACGAATTAACATGAATAAATCGACTTTTAACATTTAATAAAGGTGATCGATTATGAATCTAGGCAGTATCACTTTTTAATCGAAATAAGTAAACATCATGGAATAATCATGAGCATTAAAAAGTAATTACATTTCGTTGAGTCGAAAACAAAACAAAATATTTTATACTGACATTTCACTATTTATGCTAATAACTGCATCAAAGTTACAGTAGACCAGAATTTATAAAAATCCTAGTTTATATATGGTAACCTGATCTTTGTATATAGTAATTCTCCATTGTCCAGTGAATGAAGTAATAAAGGTACTAGAAAAACGTAGATTGTTACCATATATAAGCTGAGATTTTTTATAAATTCCGGTTTACTGTAACTTTGATGAAGTTATTACCATTAAATAGTGAAACTTTAGAACAGCTTCGTTTAGTCTTTCGCTTATTGGTAAATACAAATTTCTAATAATAGTTCATATAATGAATCCAACAGCCAATCTGTTTCCAAACATGCATACATTATGAAGTGAATTTATAAGTGTTTAGAGCCAAATTCGAGACTTAATGCAACCTAGTGAAATGGAAAATATTGAAGACTTTGGATATGAAATTAGCAATAATGGTTTATAAAATATTGTTTAAAAATTCTCGACTAACAAATAACTGTTTAGCTCCATATTTTGAACAGTGAAGTCAAAATATTCTCTCAAACAGTTCATTATTTACTTGGTGTACTCACCTAGATTTCACTAGATGTTGTGACTTAAAGTAGTTTATTATTTAAACCACTTGTAACGTGTAAAAATACCTGTCTGCAGAAATTTTGTTGAAGAATTTAATGAATGAAAATGTTATTAGTATAGCTGTAATCTATTGATGCTTGGTCGTGAGATCAAAACAGTTTACTTATTGTGATTTATTGCGGGCAATCTTCAGATGACGAATGAACGCCAATTAGAAATTAAACTGTCCACGCTTTGATTTATCTCAATATTATTTTGAGTGAAACTTCAGTTTAACCTTAGTTCTAACAAAACTAAATTGGCCACATATAAAATAACATCATTTGTACTCTGATTTTGTGTAGAAAGTTAAGATAATCGGTCATTCAACTAACTTTCAGTGTTCAATATTAGATGCTTTGCACATTGTCATAATTAGTGGTTGATCCACATTGTTTACTGGTACTTCAAATAAACCAAAGGTTGTTCGTTAAGAACTCAGGATTATTTACTTTAATTCCGTTTGATGCTTTTTGCATCCTGTTTATTATTACCTCTTGTTGAACATATCGCTCTGTAAAATCAGCAATTTAGGAAACCTGTGTGTAGCCTGATGTTTATATCGATGATATTTGCATAACTAGCGTACATCACTTTAATAGTAACTTCTAATTATTTTCTTAAGTTAAAAAATATGACAAAGCATTTATTTTGTGATATCAAAATGAAATATAAAACAAAGATAAAACAAGCAATTAATATGTCACGATTTGTCCTATATTTTTATAGCACAAAGTATCCTCATATACAACCATAGATAATAAGAGTTCATTATATGAACAAAAAACGTACATATCTTAGTTCATTATCATTTAACAATGAGATTGATAATTTATTCTTTTATCTAAATGTGACTAGATTTTATAAGTATTTTTATGAATAAATTTTCCAGGTTATTTGAATTTGATAAACGTTGCTTAAAGACAATAAATTATTCGAATTGATTTCTATTCAACTTATAGAACATCATCATTAGAGGTTTTATAATTTTACTAGAAATAAAAAATCAAATTAGAAATAGATGATATTGTTATGTGATTCAAAGTAATATAATATAATTAAATATGTCTAAACAAATAATTTTGAAATATGTCTTGGCACCAACTAAGATCAGTTGAAGAAAAATTGTGAACTAGATAGTGTAGGTAAATAATTTTGTCCTGGAATGGAGTTCCTCAGGAGAGGGTACTTGTGACACTATACAGGATTGATTGAGTGACTTTGTAGACTCTTTGTTCTAGAAATGTTACAATTCAACGGTTAGGTCAGGTCTTAAGGTGGAAAAGTTCGGTGAATATTTGACATATAGAATGGCACATAATTGCAAATTAATTGAGCATTTGGTAGATTGTTACAATCAAAATTGTAGGTTCACATATTACCTAGATCATCAGCAAGGTATCCATAACTTATTTAAAATAGGATTACACTCACTTTTTGTACTGCTTCCACATTGTGTACAATAATGCAATAATATCACGCACACAAGACCGAATTATTCTTCTATAATATTGTATCTTGAATAGATAAGACAAGAGAAGTGTACTAATACACTGTTTACATATTGTGGCCTTAGATGTAAAATTTTGCAATTAAAATGCTAGCTTTGAGCTTATTTTGTTCAGAACAAATAAAAAGCGTGTATCTTTGAAATAAAAATTCTGTTTCTGTCATTAAAGAAACTCACGTATATGAGCACATATATTGTGCAAAAGTAAATTTCTACAGATACTTCATTTCTTGGAAGCCTCTGTGTTTTATAATACAGTAGATGAAGACTAGGAAAAGAGTTTCAAAATACTTGATTGTCCATGCAATTTAACTAAATTTAATTATGTTATCCGTAAGGTGGCTTGGCTTTTCCAGTAGGCTACCATGATCACTTTACAATACCATACAAAAAGCTCTGTCTAGTGGTTAAGTGTTTAAACGAGATCAATAGCCCTACACGATAGGTTTTGATGACTATTACAAGAAGTTGCCGTTATATTTCTTTAATAGTCAAATAACTATCTATTTAGCTAAAATTTTATGAACGATAATGGATTCCTGACCATTTTAAGCATTTTGAAATGTTCCAGATGACTTAAAAACAACAACATAAGATTTATTAAAGAATTAACTTTGTCGAACATACCAACATAATATTTCAAACCTACCAATTATATATTATTTTATTATTTATAACTGCGCCGCCAAGTGTGTGCTAATTAGTTTCACAATGATTAACTGCTTTGCTACTAGTTCCTTTCGATGTCAGAATATCATATAATTAGTGTTGGTTTATAATTGTTCGCCAACATAACTGTACAGATCAAATGACTAATATTCCGTTAGTATTCATAATATCATTTCTATTTCCTTTGTTTAATATGGACAATGTCAAACAAGCGTAGTTGTTATATCTTGAGACAGTCAAATGGTGAATTCATTTTATCTTAATTATGAATTGCGTACTTACCAAACAAAGAATGTCTCTGTTAAATAAGCTGTTTTCCGTCAGACCCTGATTAGTTTAGTTTATAAATTTGTCCAGTGACTTTTCTCTTAAATCTTTTACAAAAATATCTGTGATTGGGCGCTGGCTTTGTTTGTTAATGGTGTTAAAGTAGGAAGAAAGAAATCTAGAAATTAATATGTGATACTGAATTTTTAAAAAAATGTTTTTAATTAATCATTATTCTTGGAAACTTGATGATTTTGTCTGTAGCATACTGCGGTGTCTAGTAGGTCGTTTTTACTTTACAACCGAACAACAGTTATCGTTTTCTCAAAATCGAGTAATTTATAGATATAATCGGCATGTAGAACACAATGTTACTTCATCAGCATGATGGATTCGCAAAACATTTTTCCAGATTAATTTAAGTTAACAAACTGCACAAGATAATTCAATATCAATTTAGTAGCTCCATCATTTTTCACCGTGTACGGCTGTGAAGTTAGGCAGTATTGTGTATCATCATCTTCATACGGAAGTGAATTTGGATAGTCAGTAATTCTTCGGACAACACGTTAGTTTGCTGAGAATGTACTCTGTTCGAAATGTGCTGTCTACAAATTCTAGTTTGACGGCGTTTTTTGACCTTATATGCTACTTGTTGCAGACAAACTATCTGTCCTTATTCAATAGATTATAGCAGTGAATATGCTTCGTAGAAGCATGACTGTGTAACTAAAATCTATGAAGAATCAGAATTTACTTTTATGAAAAGTAAATGATCTTACCCCTGGTTATCGACGACTGAAATATGTTACTTTCTACAAACTATTTGCCCCTAATGTTCTTTTTCAAACATTTAGATCAATGCATATTTTGATTTTATCCCTTATTTTCATATTCATAGGTAAATATAACCCAAAAGATTCAAGCTTCAAAGTAAGTTTATTTTTTCGTGATATTTTGATATTGGACAAAATAATTGCTTTTTCTAACCCTACAATTTTGTTGTCCTAGTTTCTAATGATTCGTAAATCAATGTTCAATAAGTAATCTCGTTACAGAAAGGTAAACAATTTGTAAAACGTAATATAAAATGTCTTTAACATCAAGTATGAAATATAGTATATATAATCAATGTCTATTAATTTACAACAATCAACTATTGTTTACGTAAATGAAATAACAGGTCACTAGAAGAGTGTTAAGGTGGCAAACACATAATTGCTGTTCTTATTTCCATTGAACCTTAATAGAAAAGCTTAAAACGTAAGTCCAACAATATATCATGATTCACTTTTGAATTAAAAATTTCCGTTCCATTTATCAGCTAAATATGTACCTATGGATCAAACTGCATATATAGCTCATTAACTTGTACAACGTAGAAAACAGAATGTACGGACGTTTGGATGAGCAGAAATATATGAGTTCTAGCGTTATGGGAGATCTGTGGTTTTACTTTCAGCAGTTCCGTTTTATTAGAAAATAATCAACCGTTCTAATTTTTAAAATATTACTGTGTTGTATGTAATATCATCAGTGTGATGATAAAAAAGTTGGTACTTTAGTATTCGTTTTATTCTTTAGTTTATTTTCAATTTTAACTGGATGTGAATAGGCTCTGCGTTTGGTTAATGATATTAAACAACACTAAATTGCTTCATTCCTATTACTAATAACTGATGCAGTTTGAAGGAAAATGTCAGTAGCATTATAGTTTAATTTTTCTAAGTCATCTGGTAGAATTTTGCAAATAAATATCTGGATACTGCTGTTTTCCAGAAGTTTCAGTGTTTTGTTAATTATTATGATTGCTTACGCCAATAAGTACTGACATTCATTTAAATACTGTTTAGTAACTAACTAGTTTAAGTCATTTCTTTTTAATGAATGAAAATAATATTTAAGCGAGTAAATTCATTTTGTGAGTCTCGTGAATGATTAATGCCTATGTTGATGTAATAATTATGATTACATTAAATGTGATTATTTTTTATGACCCTCAATTTATAAATCATGAGAAAATAAATCTGATAAGTGTGTCTGATTATTTACTTACTTAAGCCTGTTACCCTCTCATCTAATTACTGGATAGATAAGTTTGTTTAAAACTATTTTTGTTAAATAAAAATGTCATATATTTTTAATAAAAATGAATCTCATAGATCATACGTCATGCTAAATTAGTTTGTTATAAGAATTTCAATTAATTATTTTCACAACTCATTCTTCAAAACCTATGAGTTGCACGGTAAGCTAAAACGTTATTCACGACAGCGAATACAATAAGATTTAATAAGCAAATAAATATCATATGATTGTAAAACTTCATAATCGTCATTAATGTACATGTATATATAATGATTTAATTACTATCATTTATATTTATTTATTAATGAATTCAACAGAACATTAATTTGAGACATTAAAAAGAAGAATATATTGTGAAACTATTCGTTTAAATTTAGACGAAAGTTCTTATTTAGAACATTAATTGTTTGTTTCTCGAAATAAATAATTCACCATAACATTATCGTTTTGGAAATAGAATCAAGCCAAGCAACAATTGGATAGTATTTAATTACAAATACTGTGGCTTTGAAGTTGTTGCATCCTTTATAAGAAGTGCTAAGATCATTACCGATAAATTTTTTACTTTTTTATTTAACATTTTTCTAGTGACGATTTTTCACAACACCTTTGCCCTTTTGTTCTTTGTGATGCTGGTTACATCGAAATCTATCTAATGCGTTGGCATTTTATATGGGTTCAATATCTTTAGCGGCATACACTTTGACTTGCTTTCATCATGTCTAGTCGTTTCTACGGTTATTACGTTGTCACTCTGAGCGCTACTGTTTTCCACTTTCTTTATGTTTTGTTGTAGTTTTTCACTGGTGTTTGTGGACTCTGATCCAGTTTCACAAGAGATTTTACGTCCAGTTGGATTTGCTTGTTAAGAAGGTCCATCACTCATTAATCTTGTCTTTCAAGAAATCTTAAGCTCCTCCATAGAAGAAAACGTCAAAGGTCTAAAGATGATTGATAATCTTAATTCGAGCTGTGACATGTTGCATGTTACATATTCAGATGACCAAATCTCGACCTCAACTAACGATTCAAGTAACACTCAGAACTCACAAAACGTTCTTAGTCAACTTAGTTCGAAAGTTTCCCATAAAAATACAAAGACTATATATTATAAAAAGCAAAACATTAATCCACTAGTTATCATATAGGAAGTGAACTCTTTAGAACATATGAGGTCGACAATTCGAAACAACATTCGTTCAGATGATGCGATCATTTCCAATATAATAAAAGTTAAACATGCTACAATAAAAAATACTGCCAGTACTGCGAGATAATAGCATAAAATTGAGTACCAAAATAAGATTGATGTGGTTCACCATCATACTATTATTAAGGTATAGACTAAAGACAATAAACCTCATAAAAAAGGACTGAATGAGATCAACAACCGTCTTACACACCATTCGATCAATAGTACTTGGTGTAATCTGTCGAAAGCATATTTCAATAATAATGCTACAAAAGAAAACCCGTTTAACTAACATAGTCAATAGAACTAATAAAAATCTTATATTTGGTGCATCACAACAGATTCTACAATTGCAGGGCTATGAGAGTAGCATAGCTGAGGTCAAACATATCAAAAACTGGCTAAGACTAGCCAAACGTGATATCAAGTTGTTTGAAGGAAGACTACTTCAAAATTAAGTGGACAATCCAATCAAGTTTAATTTGACAAACCAAGTAGTTATTAACTAAAAATCATTGCAAAGCGAGATCTAACATTTATATTCTCTAATGGAAATTGCAGCAGGATTTTTGCTTCCAAAAACGAAATGAATCAGTATTGCAGAAACAGTCATCCTCTAAACAAAAGTGAAGTAATAAACCCAGAAGGATACTGCTGCTAACTTAGGGATTGCGCAAGAAAACAATAGAATTGATGAAAACACATACATTCATGGCACCCCCAACATGACCTAAACTGACCAATATTTACTACATGGACGACAACAACAAAAACAGCAGAATCAAGTAAGCAAAACAACAAACATAGATGCACCTTCAAAGGGTATAGTGAAATGCTACCTGTAAGATAAATTATAACTAATCACCGGTGTGTGGTACATAGGTGGTCAGCAGTTACTGGACAGGAAATAAGATCACGAATAAAAACTGTTATTGCTTCCCGGTGGTTGTGCCGGGTTTACAGAAAAACAGTTAGCTTCACTAACCAGTTTGTCTATAAACGAAGTTTGATAATTATTAGTATTTGGATTATAGTACTAACTAAGAATCCCAGAAATAACGCAATTGGATCAAGAAGTACTAGATAAGCACAAACAAATATGTTGTATTTGGAATTCGAACTCAAGCATTCAACAAGTACAAAGGAATCATTAGTTCATTCAGACACCACATCCGCCACAGTTTAAATTTGGGTCTAAATGTTTGTGATTGATTGTAGGTTTTCTTCTTAAGTTCATCCTGTGTCTGTCTGACAGTGCATTGGATAAAGACTCTGTATTATCTAAAATGCACTCATTAACATTAGAATTAACAACTGAAATCGGGACAAGTTCACGTGCTTCCTGGGATTGCGTAATCAGCATGTTGGTCGTGTACTGAAACCGCTGATACCTAGAATTTGAACCATAGAGTTTTAGACTATACTCCCCTGCGAAATAATGTTGAATCTTCATATCCCTAAGCTATGAATGATGTAGCTTCGTTTAACATATATTTCTCACATTGGTTAGAGTAAACATTAGAAGTGACTTCGTGATAAGGATAAACAGCAGTTGATATGAAACCACCCGAATTGTAATCAAAATCGAGGTCATTTATTACTCGTGGTTCGCAATGAACAAGTTTCCCACGAGTGACAAATGCATTACGAGGACAAACAACATTTGAAATAGTTTCCTCGAATTTATTAAGAATGTTATTGTAGAGTAAAGGATCATTAGAAAATCAGCATCTATCAATACTACATCAAGTTTTTGATCGTGACTAGGTTCATCCAGCATATATTCCTCAGATTTGCAAGGAATTTCGTCAGAAATAAGTGAGTCATTGGGAAAAACCATATCTGGTACAATGACATCAGAAATCTGATAATTTGATTGATTAGACACTGTTGTCTCGCAAGAATTCTGAGTTTCATTTAACTCTGAACTGCTATATGACTCTACACTGTCTTTTGAAATCGTTGATAAAGATAAATGATCATTATAAATACTCAACTTAATAGAATCAGAATTACAGGACTTAATATTAGTTGCAGCAAGATGAACAGTAGCATTACAAAGTGACTGAATATGTCCAATATCACCACATTTAAAGCACTTAGAATTACGAAACCTACATGGATTAAAAAAGTGGAACCTGCCACTGGACAAACACTGGTCAAAAATGTGCCCATTTTCGTGAACTGCATCGCGACTACTCAGTGAATTATCTGAGTAACTTAGAGTATGCACTGGATTGAAATGACGTAATGCAGTGGAGTTTTTATATCCGCATGAATTATTTTACGAAATCTTCCTTTACCCCATTCGAAATTCGTATACTTAACATAGTCTAGCATTAGTTCCTTGAGAGTTGTATAAGGAAGCAAAATGGAATTTTCCGGTAAAGCCATAGTTTTTAATATGTTATATGCTTCTTTTCCGATGAATGTGAGGAAATCTACAATAATAACAAACTCATCATCTTCCTTGGTCATAGCCCAGATTTCGAACCTTTCAAAGTAATCCTCGAAAGCATCAAAATCTGAATGTATGTCCAACCGTTTCATCACACGCCAATGTGATAATTAGGAGTATTTGAATTATAGTATTAATTAAGAATCCCCGAAATAACGCAGTTGGATCAAGAAGTACTAGATAGACACAAACAAATGTACTGTATTTGGAATTGGAAATCAAGCATTCAACAAATACAAAGGAATCATTAGTTCATTCAAACACCACACGAAGCCAGAAAGAATAAAATTTCTACAGCTGTTTTAACTATTATCATTACCTAAAAATTGTAACTAGTATAGGCAGCTAGAAAGTAGTTCTCTCCATCTTTGGATCCCATTTTATAACTGAAATAAGTAGACATATATGACAAGAAGTAATCAGTATCAACAGGATGAAATAATTTTAACAATTGACTCATACGTGTTGTTGATATTTTGTCAGTTGTTTAATGACTATCCGATAAGAACTAAATTTGAACTCAATGTTTCCATATTATATAAGAGAAAGAAAAGAAGTTTCTAAACATTTTCTACATAAACAGAACACTTACAATAACGGTTCACTCTAATTTATATTATGAAGACAGTTTTACAATGTCCATGTAAATAAGTAAATTAGAAGACCTTGTGAATATCCATACAATTGTCTTTCTTCTCAATATTAAGGTGGCGACTGTTTGTTATTTTCATCACTGAAATGTACTTGTTTAGTTCCTAATAAGTGATGCAACAACTTCAATGTTTACTTAATATGTTATCAAAATTGAAGCATTACATCATTTACAAAATATTTATTTTCACACAACAATTTCATCACATAATGAGTCATATACACATCACGTCATCAATGAAGTATTTAGACATGAACCAAACCAAGCAAATATGTGAAACATTTCTGACAACTAAATATAACTTTATTTCCTGAATGTCATGAGATCCTATTACTTGGTTCGATTTCTGGTTAGAGGCTTAATTTTAGCATATAAAAGTCCACAAAACTCACTCGACTAATGTCTGCTAATTATTAATTTTAATAAGCTTTTTCTCACTAGATACTGTGTACTGTTAGACTATTTGTTCCGTCAAGTAGACTAAAATAAGAACTACAAATCAGAATAAACTTATGGGAATCTTGATAGGTTTATTATTGAATTTGTCTCTTTGTTTTGATGTAATTATTTGTTGATGAGTTTCACCTGTTATCATTAAACTTATAGTCTTAGTTATCAGTTTACTTTCTATCATTTTTAAAAATAGTGACGTGAATCTATCACCAAAACAAATGTTCCGCTGTATTGATTTTTATTTATTGTGGCTCGTGATGTTCTGCAACATTATTCCTATTACAACAATCACATCAACTTATAAGGTAGCTATTTTTGTTCTTTACACTTTACTCATTTACTTTTAACTTATTCGTCACAAGGATATAGCCAACAATGTCCAGTGTAATGTATATGCAGTAACGAGACAACTTTTGGTTAATGTTTTCCCTGGTTATCAGGTTGACAATTTTCGCCTGAGATGAATGTATTCATTTTTCTTATGTACCAGGTGGCAAGTGTTCTACATGGTTTAAGCATTATATAAATCACATTAGAAACTAATGTAGGGTCTACTGCAGTAGTTTACTGTAAGTATTCTTACACAGCGACTCTGAACGAATAACAATTTTAGTCTATTGAATGGTAAATTTTGTCGAATCTCATAAAACGAATATCTGAGATTTTAAAAAAGGACACATCAAAACAACTATCTTTTAGTGCTACTACTACAAAACTGTTAGATCACTAATTTATCAGTTTGTAAAATTGATTGTTATCAACTGGATTACATGTTTAAATTTACCCTCTAATATTTCGTTTTGAAACACATGAGCAGTCAACCAAATATTGTTTGTGAATATTTATTTGAATGTTTATTTTTACAAGTTTGATCTTTATAGAGTTTTCAACTTAATTCCTGTTCTTTCACTTTTTTTGTTGAAGCAATTCGGTCAAAAGTACATTTCAGACGACAGATTTTTGTCAGCCATAGTTACTATTTCATCTCTATTCAATTGCGCTGGTCGTGTGATGTGGGGTTCGATTGCTGACCGATTTTCGTTTAAAGTACGCAACATACTTCGATTTTTAGTTGATATTCGTATTTTAAAGTATCCCAAAATCGTGACTAAGTGTTGTTTTAAGGTATAAAGTTATTTTCTTATGATGCTTATCTGAGTTCATATTACTATAATAAAAACATTACAACATGGCTAGAAGTTTTGAGATATTACTTTGTTTGTTGACATGTGATGTTTCAAATTATCATGACCAGTAGGGTACACAATTGTACATCAACAATTAAAATATGATAACGAACGCTTTATATTTTCAATTACTAAACTTACGAAACTTATACAAAACGTTCCTTTTCCAAGTTTACTTTGCACAGAAAGTAGATTAGAATATGTAATTGTAGCTGAGCAAAATAAACATAACAGAATGAAGCTTATTGAACTGAACTAATAGAAGAAATTGACAAGATAGCTGATTGGTTAAAATAACTTTTCTGTCCATTCTTTCAATCAGTACCCAAGCGTGATAAATCAGTCTTATGGGATGATAATTACAATAATATTCCTTTTGAATATATGTTTACCAGCGAAGATTTCTTATAACCGCTCACCGTCCAGACAGTTAGATGCATTTAAGTAGGACGTGGTCGCTTAAATGTATCAACTACTTTGGTTACAGGTTTAGTAGCCATTTTTCCTATTCATTATGTTTAACTTAAACTTTGAGCACAAACGTAAAGCTTCTTAAAAGATGACGTAATCATACCCTTAACTTGCTGTAAAAACACGCTTTAGCAGCACAATGTGTTTAGTCCTCAAAGACCATTAAGGTTTTGTGTGTCTCTCATACAAGGTCACTAGAAAAAAGTTGAAGTATATCTATTCAGGTCCATCCCATAGTTTTATCAACTATTAAAGTTGTTGAATCTTCTCAAAATGATTATCTAGTTAAAACTTTGAGTTGTTTGATTTCCGATTTGGAAATAAATTAACATTTTATCTTTTTTTCACAAGGTTCATGTCCAATAAAGCCTTATCGACAGACTAACTTCTAAAGTAAATCACAAATGATTTGTGCTCTATGTTATCTTGAAACGTTTTAGAGCTGGTTTCGTATTTTAAAATAACTTGGAGAGCTGCATGATAAAGGTTTAATGTTAACCTGGGTGACGATTTTCTCGATACTACCAGTTGTAGTGTATCGTATATTATGACTCTTTTCTGTCTTTGTTCACGTATTTTAAAGTTACTTCGTATTTAATGATCTAAATCCTGTCTGGGTTTTAGCAAAATGGTCCAGATGAGAAAAGTGTTCACCCGTTTCTTTTCTCTCTTATAGGTGCCATTATGTGTAAAACTTACTATTTGGTCAGTCGTTCTAATAACATTTCCACATTTGTCATTATTTTCGGAAACAGTAATCAAAATATTATTTCCTATTTGGGTATTCGTCTTATTTACATTATTCTGCGGAACATTCGTCCTCATTCCAAATGCAACTGGCACAGTTTTTGGGCCAGTCAATTTAGCTGTGAATTATGGTTTAGTATTTCTAGCATTTGTGAGTTTTTAGTAAACTTTATTTGTTATATTGTGAACCACAATGATATATGACGATAATTAACCTTCATTTTTAATTTATTACCTTCAACATATACTTCAGACTAATTCACTGATTTCCTCAGTTCGTTAGTAAGCATTCACTTACCTGTAAGTCCTATATATAAATACGAGTACCAGACAATAAAATCTGAACACCATAATATTGTCACATCTAACTGAACGGCTACAATATACCCTTCTATTTTTATCCATCAATTACTTCTATAAAATAGTAAACTTTACTAGTCAGTTTCATGGTCACTCCGTTTGCATTCTTCACTTTTTGTATTGCTTCTTGTTTCATCGTTGATTTCCATTAACTTTGGATTGATATCAAGATGAAGTTGAACAATTAGTACATAAAATAAATATTGAGTAACAACAGTAATTGGAATGTTTAGTTAGTAATTTTAACATTATGTGAACCCTCAGTTAGTTTACTTCAGGTCTTCATAAGCATTTCTTCTTCCATATTTGTCCATAGTTTGGTTGAAAGACAAAGTTTGACTCCATACTTAACTTTCAATACTTTGGAAAACACCGTCTGTCTCAACAAAAATTATTGATAAATTGCTTTCCTATTCTTGTACTTAGTTTATTTGAGAGTCATACGTTAAATCCTTGATGTGAGATTTTTGATTGCCTCTAGGTAACCCACTGAAAGGCGCACATAAAGTAACAAAAAAACAAACTGAAGTATGATCAAGCGCATACGAAGTTGGTGCATGTAGAAGCAGTAAGTATAGAGAGGCTAAGAAACAAACTTTAAATTGAGTGAAAATCGAATTTAGCAATCAAAGTTAAGGAAAAACGTTTAACATACCTAACAAAATAGAAGGTTAGGTTTATGAAAGAATTGAAACCGTTCAAGTACATATGGATTAATTACATCTTTCTTTTTCTCGGTTCTAGTCGTTTGGAAGTTTTGCATGCGCAATTTTCACAACATTCTTAACCCCAGATGGTGCTTATGTATTCCAATACACTTCCTGTGGAGCCGTTTGTCTAGTGGGTAAGAAGGTATTTTATATGCATATACGAAATATTTCTATAGCTTTTACCTAGTACTGTTCAACGCAGATTTTAGGATGAACAAACTTTCGGATGAAACTTATTACAGAAACCAGTGAACAAGCTTCACAATGAGACGCTAAGCCAATACCACAGTTTGTATGAGATTCAGATTTAAGGATTTTGTTTTATTGATTTATGTTCCGACGGTCACTTTCAAGTTTGCAAAATGCAATTTTATTAATTGAGTAGACAGAATGCAACCAACTTCTCAGTAATTCTTAATTTAAAAACCGAATATTTTTATAAATACATTAAAACTGCTCAGTATTAAAACCATTTGATCCAAGTAAGATGTATAAAAGGTGATTTAAGTGTAAATTATACGGTTGAAACACCAGCCGATTTTTATGTTACCTTTGTGAACACTGATAATGGCACTAAACTTTCAGTTTTGACAACATATACAAGTACGTTTTATTTACAAACGAGTGAATATGAATTTTATAGTTTGAATGGAAGACAACGATGTATAGAGTGTTTAGCTAACTTGTAGAATAGTTGGATCATAAACGCTTATATTCTGAAACTTTACATATGTTACGTTTGAAAATCCTTATGAAGAAGAGTTAATTGGTAATAAAATTTTAGAAATTACACGTTTTCGTATATTTACCTTACGCAATATATTTAATTATATAAATAATAAATGTTGTCGTAATCTTCAGGACCATTTCGATAAAAGAAAATTAATCACCAGTTTTTATACATACGGTATTTATAACTGAATACAATTTTTGAGTAATACGCGAACAGAATAATTATCATGTTTTGTAATGGGAATTACAAAATAAATAAATTTTCATGAAAAGCTAACAATCGTGATTCTCGCTAGTCCTAAAGTTTATTTGGCAACACGTTTTCAATCTTAAAGTCTTTTGTACCTTACTGAAAGTATTTTGCATACTTTTTCTCATTTTAACATCTGTACGAACCATCATTGATGGATAAAAAGACGAATAGAGCACATGATTTATTTTCAATTAGATTTTAGGCTTGTCTTTACACTAATATATGAGATTTACAGCATTAAATTAATCTTAACTGAGTAGTATTGTTACACAATAAATTAGGCTTTATTAATGTCATTTCCTCAAAATATTTTTTATTCATGACATATCGTTAGGTAGTCTAAAAGATTTCATTTTCGGATGTCCCTATTTCTGCCGTATAAGCCTAAATATCAATCCAAATGATCAACTTCTAAAAAAGCTTATTCCATCAGTTAGTATAATCGAACAAAAATGAACACAACTTATCAGAACGAATTTTAAACATTTTTCCATTACTTTGTGGATATACCGTTGAGTGTTTGAAATTATAGACTGAAGAATTCATGTCAAAATCAAACAATATAACGTTTATATACATTAAATATTTTCAATTTAGATACAGTAATATTTTTTTTTTACGTTTAGCGCTGTTTATCACATTGTGGATCGAGGATAGAAAAACACCAGAGAAATGTCAACTATGCGGATGTTTTGTTCGACGTTGTCTAAAATTACGAGTAAAACAACCGCTAAGTAGTCCACATGAACTACAAGCGCTTAGATCATAATATGAATGGTCGGTTTTATGATATTTAATATCTGCAGCTCGAATATATATATATATATATATATATATATATATATATATATATATATATATATATATATATATATATATATATATATATATATAATCTCAAGTTCCATAAACCATAACTTCGTGGACCGTAGAGAAATTAGTGCACAATAGCAATGCTTTTATTATTATTGTTATTATTATTACTATTATCATTATTATTATTATTATTATATTACTGCTGTTACAATTGTCAATGATCTCTCACTTCATTTGAGAATACGCCTTGTAACCAATATTAATTATGTTTACTCGTATAAAAGCCACTTTAATAATAATAGTCTTTGTTTTTCTTTGATACATATTTAATTTATTTTTTGGTTGTGATATTCCATTTGATAAAAAAACATTTGTCATTATTTCGAATGAAAGTTTAAATAAAATAAAATAATAAAATTAGAAAATATTTCACATCATAGATATTAATAAAAATGTATTACTTCATACTGAACCTCAATTTTTCACTACAGTCACTATAAATGTTAAAATATATACCAATAACGTAAGACACATTTAACGAGAAACAACTTCCGGAAATATGTAGCCTGTAAATACTTGACATTTATGCTGACCATGTTATTTTCAGCTTGCACTACTTGTTGAGGCTGATCAGTTCAACATCATTACAATGTTCCTGCACAGCCTACTTTAGAAGCTTTTCTTGATCCAGAAAGTTATCCTAATAGACACGTCCATTTATTTCTGAATCCGTTAAAGTAAATGTTATCTTTCACATGTTTTTGTTTTCTTCATTATCTTTGAACCGTCTTGTCTGGAAGATATCATTAACAGAATCCTTTGACTTTGTCTGAGATATAGTAATACTTGTTATATATATATAGCTACTGTAAGGAAATGATTTAAAGGGCATTTTATTTATTAATTAGCGAAGTGCATTAAGTTTACGATACAATGATAATAAAGCAACAAGGTAGTATAAACTTGTGAACTAGAATAAATAATAGTATCTGGCTAGGTGTATGATACAGAGATACTGGTAGCTGTCCAAAACTTCGCATGATGGTGATGGATCCTTGTCAAGACAGTGTGTACCATTGAGTACAAGCAATTCCCATTTCGTGCAAATATCGTAGAAATTGTTCGGGCTGAGACCGCAATTAAATTTATACGATATTTGACCGTACAATAAAATATTTTGCGTAAAGATGACAAATGTCTCTTCATTTTGGCTCTATAACAAAAGATATAAATAAAACAAATAATGTCAGCTTATTAAGTCCAGTGCAAACATTTTGCAGATGAGCTACTTCAAGATTGTTTACTAAAATACAAGTAAATCTCATATGCACCTACAATCGAGACTAATAAGTACATCATGCCAATTTCTGTTCTCTTTGGGGAACGACCAAAATGTTTAGATTGAGGCGGCCAAATATCTGACTCCATTTCAGATTGTATGTAAGATGGCTGGGAAGCCAACTCCATTTCAAGCTAGGCATTACTCAATATTTATAGGCAGACAAAATAAACGACAAACATGTGATGAGTCATGGGACCTGAAGTGTACACATATACGCTCATATGAAAACAGTCAAGGCTAATAAGCGAATAATTAACAAGGTCAAAACATGACTCAAATAGAATGAATAGAATGGAATATCCGGAAACTAGAATAAGATATATTATGGGCTAAAACTTATGACTAACACTACAAGATCAAGTTTATGAAGAATTTCTTAAAACGCAGACATATATCCCTATGGCGGTCATGTTTTTGTAACTTGTACACTATTGTGGTGGTATAATCTCAGTTGACAGAAGTTGCTGTCCTCCAAACAAATCAAATGCGTAGATTAACGGCTTTGTTTCAATAGATACGTGTGAGGTTTATTACTTAGATCAAAGTTGCTGGCATTTTATTTCAAATCATTTAATTAACTTACTTTGTTCACATCCAAAACTTCAGGAAACCCACAGACATAAGATAAGATATAATAAGTATGATTAACATCAGATGAATAGAACCAATGCATTGAATAAGTACATGAAGTATGTTAGTTTTGTCTAGTCGGATGAAGAAATATGACGTTATAAAATCTAACCATAGTTTAAGATATTGAAGTCTATTTTCAGAGGAAGTGTAGTTTCCGCACTATTTTTGTAGATGATATTTCATTTCGATTCATGATTTACAACATCATAGTGCTAGCACGGTTACATTATTGAGTAAAACGGTTCTAGATAGATGGGTTATTTATTTGGGTAGAATAATGTACAGTGACAACTCAGAGGTGGGTTATACAAACGAAAGTAGACAATATTCATTGCGTGTTCAGGTGTTAAGTACAGATGTGATTTTAGTACACTTCAGACAAACGTAAACTACGCTATGGCAGAAACACACTTGAGGGGAATGTGACGACCACTGTATTTTCCATACGAAACTTCCCTTTCCTTTGTATGTCGATAAATTACCAATGTTGCTTAAGTTATTGACACGATTATATCTAGATAATGTCAAATCCTTAAGATAATAATAAATAGGGCTTATCATCATAATCTGCGAGCTGGTGTAGACAAATCATTTAAACCATCTTAATGTGGGTTTTCAGATTAATAGTAAAAAACGGAGCGCCTACGCGTATCGGACATAGAAATAGACACCAGGACAGCAATCATAGAACAAGCATTCAATATCTATACTTACAAAAACATTTAGGACTGAGAATCATTACTAGGAAATAGTCATGCAGCAGCTGATGTAGAACTTACCACGTCAAGCTTGCTGATTCTACGATTAGTCCAAGTTTCGGACACTTCGTTCCGCTTTGGTGGGAAACGCTCAAGTGCCTGGTCCATATCTCATTAAGGATGCTGATACACCTGACCATGTTCATAGAATGTGAAATAAAAGAGAAGAAGACTTATTCAAACTCTACAACAAGGTGATAGAACTTAAACCGTTTCACTATTTATCTTAACTTAGAATGCGATGAAATCTTCATTTAGGATTCTGCAACTAAAGTGATGTCTTCAGTGTTTTCTTACTTTCTTTCTATGCTCTTCTGAAGATCAGTCAATTTAAAAGCTATAGAATGGAAGTTTAAAAACCCTCAATTTGACAAACTCGGTGTAGGATTCCATTCTATCAATCGAGTGGTCGATTAGTGTAAATCTCTACACGGACAAGTGGTATCTGCGACTCTGGAAATAATCTTAAATGTCAATTTAATTAATGAAAACTGAAGTTAGTCAAATTCATATGAAGAGTGACCAGGTCAGAATAAGCAGATTTACGTGATTAAGAAGTTTTGAAGTCATTCGCTTGTAAGCTCTGTTCCAGAAACCATATTTCATAAAACTTAAAGATAATATTAATTACAAACATCTTATGAATCTATAACTGTTGGGTTGAGCGAGCCTATAGTGTCTGATGTGACTTCGCTGATCTTCCAACAATAACCAGAAACATCCAACTTTCCACTACCATATTCGAATGTTTAAACATTCCTAAGGATACAGACTGCGTCTTTACCGTCTTCATAGACAAATATGCAATCCGTTGCGGAGGTAAATAAATCTCCAAAATCACTAGCTCCGTAAGTCTTTGACGTTTCATGCTGACTGCATTGGTTTTAATGTACCCACTTAGCTAAAGGCGCTTGGTTATGCATCAGCAGCAGATCACGAGTGAGTACGCCGTGCTTCACTACTTTTGCAATCGCTAGTCAGCTTAGATTGATAGCTTGTCACTATATCGATAGACAATTAAATACATCTCCGTGCTTCTTCTCTTTTGACTTCTGATTTCTCTGAGTTGGTACGTTTTGATTATCAAAGCTGTTACTGGATAAGGTTTTGTGGAACTTCGAATATTTGTTTCATCTTTAAAGTAGTCATACTGCTGTTAACTCACTGCGAGATAGGTCTTGCTGTCTCAATCAACTGCTTTCTACTTTGTTATTTGAATCGCAACATACATGCATCCATTTTCTCACAAAAACAAGACGTTTGGATAAGTTACTGGATCCACGTGAAATTGCTTTGATGGAACGGTCAAAACGAACGTTGCGAATTTATGTGATTCTCAGACCCTATCCTTCTATAGCATATGTTATTTTTCTTTTTCAAAATTTTGACCTTGAGTACTTCCTTCTTTTATTGTTTCAAATTCAACTTTCTAGTCTATTAATGAGTATGCACAGGGATAGCGCTGCGACCAGTACCTACACTATGACCAGAAGAACGATTAGAAGAGTCAGAGATCGAAATTCAGTGGTTAATAATAACTACAAAATCTCTCCTCTAGCAACAGAGCGGTGTAAAAAGACACACGAATGGAATTGATAAAGTTTAAGTTTTTCGCTCCATTGTAAACTATCGGATTAATCACTACCAGGGAATCTAGATCGTTTAACACAGGTTTAAACCGACAGGGGACTGTGGAGCCCCAAACTGGGTTCAAACACGAATGAACTCGCCAGATGCTAAAACCTCGGAATCTGATAAGATTGAGAAGCAATGGGTTAGTGTTGGAAGGGGTATTTGATAATTATAGCCTCTAGAATGCTGAAATTTGGTAACAAAGACATTAGTCAGAAATCCTTGTTTTTATTTAGTGTCTCAGTTTTGAAGTGTAACTCAGTAGAATTAGGGCACATGTTGATGAAGAACAATGGGGCGAATGTGATACAGTCTGCTTGTATTGGGGCCAGAACATTGTAGGATTTAAATTCCCTCATTCAGGCATAACATCTGATTCAGCTCACGTTACAGAGTGCATTTTACTGACATCTTTGAGACCTTCGGTTGAGGATTACTCTCAAAACCAAGTTTGATACAACAAACCGTGATCCGTAACAAATGCCGCCTAAATAGCACGGCGTACCTACTCATGATTTGGTGCGGCTGCGCGACCAAGACCGTTCAACTAGGATGTAGTCAGTACAACTAATGAGGTCAGCATCACTG